GCAAGTCAAACTCAGTTTTAATTTGGAAGTTTAATGTTTAAATAGTTATGCAATGTTTAAAACACGTAGCATGTTCTAAACAGAAAAAAAAAAAAAAAAATACTACCTAGATATGTAATTTAAATCTAGAATTTCAATGTAGAAGTCATATGTTCAAACAATTAGCAGCTATTATAAAGTTAAAGCTTAATTAAGGTTATATTTTGGTAAAGTGATAGTAGTTATTTATTAGTCAAATTATAAAAATAATTAAATTAAAAATTTCTTTAGTTTGATGTTTAGTAATCTGCACCAAATTAAGAGATTTACAGCCCTAAAGGTGCCAACATGAAGAATACATTCTTAAAATCGTTTTGGAAGAAGAGGAATGCTAGCTGCACTCGCCTTTCTCCAGCACTCTCCAACACTCTCTCATGTAAAATGTCCACGTAACAAAATTTGGCTCGCAATTCAAAGTTCCCAACTTGAAAAGTTCACGTGGCTATTTTAGATAAGGGAGTGTTGGAGAGTGCTGGAGAAAGGCGAGTGCAGCTAGCATTCCTCTTTGGAAGAATACGTTTAACCCAAAACACCCTTAAAATAAATATTGAAAAAAAAAAGGCAGATTTAGGATTGGGCTGATCTTGGATTTTGTTGGTTCAACCGGAAAACATAATTATAAATAGAATAAAAATTTAATATTAATGATGTGGTATAAGTTGTATCATTTAAAATATTAAAAATTAAATTTTATGTTACTTAATAATTACTTTTTTATCTTTTTTAAAACTCATTATACTATATATATTAATTAATTTAATAATATAATTTATATCTTATAATTAATACTAAATTTTCCTCTTCCATGTCTTCCATACCTGTTACTCAATTTAAAAACAAAGACACAGGTCAATCAAAACCTGCTTAATACATGGCTTGGGCCGAGTGAATAATGGGCTTCTAGCCTCATTTACTAATTTAGACTGTTGGCACGGCCCAAGTCAAGGGTTTACTCCAGGATGAGCATTTTGTAATTTTTTTTTTTATATTAACCTTCTGGTATTCGATAATCACATTGGATACTAACTAATTCGGAATTGAGTCATGTCAGACCCCATTAGGGAAGAAGCTCTTCCCAACGCTTGTTTCTCTATTTACAAGATTCGAACTCGAGATCTTACTTAATGAGAACCGACTTCCTTTTACTCGGATCAACAAATTGTTGGTATTTTGAAATTTTTTCTTCTTCTTTACTCTTCATTCTTACTTCCCTTTCTCTCTCTCTCTATCTCTCTCTCTCTCATATCTTATTCTTCCATTTTTTTTTCTTCTTCTTCCATATCTAATATCATGCGTCTAGAATTTTATTACTTTTATTTTTTTTTTACAGATTTTGTGGTTTTAGAAGAATATTCTTCATTTTCATTTTTTTTCATTACTAATTATTGCTCTTTTTCTCATTTTGCAGATTTTGGGAAATTTTCATTTCATTTTTTACATTGTAAATGCCATAATGTTTTTTCTTTTATTTCATTTCATTTTCTTGAATTTAGTTTTAATAATAAAATTTTTAGTAATGTTTATAATAATCTAATAATAATGTTTAAAATAACTGGAGATTTTTTTTTTTGTAATTGTTTTAATTAAATAATAACTAGAATTTATTAATAATATATTTTTTAATTCATAATACACTATAACTAACAAAATCTTCAGTTATGCTTAAATAATTTTTTTATTTATATGTAAAATATGATATTAATGTTTAATTATCAACTAAATCTTTAAATAATTAAGAAAAAAGATTTCAAAACTATATAATTTTAATAAAACTACACTAGAGAAAAAAATTAAAACAGTTTCATTTCTACTTTAAAAA